TAAGTTCATGTTCACTTTTAAGGAATTCATCCAACTTATCCGATTCTCTGCAAGCATCCCCGAACATATCCCGAGGCCAATTATCAGGTTCGGGTAGATAAGCAAACTCATGGAAGCTGGGGAGGCTGGAGGCTTCTGGCCAGGCCTGTTCAGAGGGAGTACCGAGGAGCTCTACGATGGCCTTGAGTAGATCAACCTCAGAGGGAACCTAAACCACTACACTACACATCCACGATGTCTCGAATGATACTAGAAAATTCATGAGTCGCCACCTACGCTGGATTCAAAATTTCAACGGAAATTACTCCAACGAATGTGAAAACACTTGAGCCTCTTCGTTGGCGTAAACTCTGACTTTCAAATTCAACTGCAACCAAGTATCCTGACTTTACAAACCCTGATTCTATTTCTCCAATAATAATCACCTGGAAGAGTGGGGCCCTGCGTTTGACGGTACTTGGCCGACTCCTTTCCCCTCGAGGTAGCATTTCTGCCATGAGTGTACCGATAGACCAGATGTCGACTGCTGGAGAGTAATAGGAGGATTCAAATAACAATTCGGGAGCTCTATACCACAACGTGACCACATTGAAGGTCATGTTGCCTCCGAAAGACCGCTTCGATTGACCGAAACATCCCTGAAAACAGAAATGATCAACAAATGATTTTAGTAGAGCAGAGTTCCATTTCAACGAAGAGTTCGAAGCAATGTGATGTAGATGTCGGACGCGGGTATCGATCCCTGGACCTTCCGGTGTACAAACTAGCCTACTAACTACCCTCCCAGAGATATACACACACCAACCTAACCTTCACACTACACCACAAGGATCGACACTCATCAATAGCGATTCTGCATAGCGCAGGAAAGGTAAGATTCGCTTCTCACCGGAGGCGGTTGGCCAAGCTGCCTGGCGAGACCGAAATCGGTTAAACTGAGCGTTCCAGTGTTGATATCACACAAGACGTTGCCAGATGACAGATCTCGATGGACGAACCAGACATCATGGAGAGCCTTCACGCCCGACACTATTTGGTATACCAT